AAAAAAAAAAAAAAAAAGAAGGTTTGGATTTGACGGTACCAGCAGCTCCCAGGCTAGGGCTTGCATTTTAGGGGTTATAGGGCTAAATCCACTGTATTTGTAACACTTTCTATTGATATTCAATATCAATATCAAGTTAGCTCTTGCTTGTCTGTACTGGTGGTCATTGCATTCCCCTCTGTAACCCTGTGGTGGGGCCAGACAGGGAGTTCAGGTTCCTACCTTCCAACTGCTAGTCTTTCCTATTTCCCTCAGGGGAAGAAAAGTCTACCCTGTTATTAGTGGTTGTTCCAGTGAGGGGTGTGCTGATTTCCTGTAGAATGAAGATGAGGCTGGAGGGTGGTTACCCTGCAGGGCCAGAAGGAGACATCAGGGCTTGTGACTAGGTGCTGAAATCTGTAATCACAGGCTTCCCTGGTGCTTGTCTCTAGTTCACAATTTGGTGGATTTTGCTCCCGTTTTAGAAAAACAATCGACTCTCTTCAGCAAACGGTTGTTGCTATGTGCCATTCTTCCAGCAGGTGGCAGCACGAGGCCACAAGATATGGAAACTCTTGGGTGGCAGTGTTAGGAAGGAAGCCAGGACATGACTGGAGGCTGGACAAGTCTCCAAATTTGCCTCAGGTTAGGGAATGGGCGGGGGGGGGGGGTGGTCTGCAGGAAGTCCACTCAGCACACCTGGAGAGGTGCTGCAGGACCCCTGCAGAGAAGTGTTTTCCAACTGTGTTCTAGAACTGATTGATTGAAGCTTGTGCTTTCTCTGAGTTACGCCTTATCTCCCTGTACCTTAATGCTCTCTCTCAGCCTAAAAAAGTGCCAAACGTCTTCTCAGCCACAAAGCCTGTCCCCGGATCCTGCCACTCCATACAGCTGTCCCCTTTTCCCTTCCCTTCGTTTCCAGGGTTTCAGAATGACTGCACTCTGGCCGCCTGGCAGTGTGGCTTCTGTCCTGCCTGCATGCTTGCTGAGGGAGCCAGATTAAAGGTGACCAAAGCCAGTGCTCTGTCTTACCTCTGCACCTGCCACCTTGCTGCATCTGACAAACATCCCTCCTTCCTGCTTAAAACTTCTCCTTAACCCTTAAAAATGTAGACAGATGGGCAGCGGCCGTGGGTCAAAGGAGTAGGGTGCCAGCCTCATATGGCGGAGGTGGCGGGTTCACCCCGCCTTTGCCAAAACAAACAAACAAACAAACAAAAATAAATGCAAAAAAAAAAATATATAGACAGATACACTACATGGGCTGTGGCTCTGTGACACTCGGCTGGAATAGAGAGGAAAGTAAAACCCAAATACCCTAAGCTCAGCTCCTGTAGTTCACTGCGTAGGGTGCAGGCCACATGTACTGGGCTGGTGGGTGTGAACCCAGCCCAGGTCTGCTAAACAATAATGACAACAACAACAACAACAACAAAATATCCGGGCGTTGTGGCAAGTGCCTGTAGCTCCAGCTACTTGGGAGGCCAAGGCAAGAGAATCTTTTTTTTTTTTTTTTTC